TATTCGTGCCAATATTTTTAGTTTTCAACATATATTTGTAATGTAGTTTCCAATGCTGGTGACATCATGTCTCTAAGAATGACATCCTGCAGTATCAATTTTTAGCACTGCCAGGAATTGAGCCGGGGGACTTTTTATTGCCCTAATGAGAATTTATTTACAAGCGCCATTTTGTTTTTTTGACTTACTGAACCTAGTCGACGCGTTGTCAGCGGATTGGCATCTTTTATAGTAAGAAAAAAAAAACATTCAACCATAATAGTTGTTTTTCATGTGAAATTATGTACATTTTCTTTTTGGTGATGTGGTTAGTCTTTTTTCTTTCAGATATTCGTATTTTTGATAAATCGCGGCAATATGTTCTCTTCTGTTTGCAGTTTGTGATTGCAGTGCTTAAGTTAGTGTACCCTCAGCTTCGTGGCTAATTGTCCAAGGTGTGAACGGTTAATTTACCCGCAACCAGCCATGGGACAATAGACTGTCAAGTGTTTCCAGGCCGGGGATAGAGGGACTGTACTGATATCAATCGCTACATCGCATTCATTTTGGACACATAAACGAACTTATATATACAGACAGTTTCTAGTTGTCTGTTCTTTCATATCTGTATGTATAACGAACTTGCACATCCGGTAATGTTTTGAAATCGACAAATGTGGTCATAGAACGTCTGACCTGATTTAGCAGGAACACATAGTTTTGTTTTCTCGTCAAAGTGTGGATTTTATACAAATCAGAGCAAAATATTATTATAATAAAAGTCTTCCGATGTTCTATATTTCACGTGACATAGCAAATATTCACGGCCCGTAATGTTGTGAAATCTACGCAAATGCTTTCATGGAGACAGTATGATATAACATGAATTTAACAGAAAATCGGTGACACGTATTTTGACTTCTGATCCCGATTTTGCATGGACGCATCGTTTCGTTTTGTCGGCGAAGCACGCGTTTTTATTTCAGTGCGATCCACTATAGTTCTTTTTTATATTTGGAAATAATTGTTAAAAACAGTGATAGCTTTAACGCAAGTCGTCCGGTGTTGACTGCGGTGAAGCAACGTGACACAGCAAATATTTACGATCAGCAATTTGACGCTTTGATAAATGCTATTTACGCGACGTTAAGAAATAGGTCAGCAGAAACCTTTATACAACGATATCCTTAAAAATGTACAAACGAACGAGCGTTCATGATTTTTCTTTTTTTTTATACAGCAACTAATGTTGTTTTGGAGTTAAACAATGAGTTTTCAATTTGTACCAGTCCGCTCGCGAAAAGGGGGCGCTGCACTGAACTGTTAGCTCATGAATATTCTTGCATAAATTTGCATATTGCGCGGAGTTCCAGAGCCGGAAACCGCTGGTTTGATTTTGATCACCTCCCTAAAACATGTCATACAGCGTGTTTCAATATCTACTTTAATCCGCTGAAATGTGCTGGTCTTTGATCTAGTATAATAACTCTATAAATATTGTGTACATATGTCGTTTTTTACATATTAAATCACCTTGTTTCACCTTGTTTCACCTTATTTCACCTTATTTCACATAGTGACCGTTATTTAGATGTTGGGTGTGGTGGAGGCACTTATTTTTTTACAATATTTAAATGCTTCGGTGAAACTACATCTTGGCATTCATGGGTTGTCATATTTATCAGCTTAGCATTTATTTATCTGCGCTGTCAGTGGAAGGAGGCCTGACTAGCGTCTTTTAATTAGCAATTCTAATATTCAATGGAGATGTCACTTTGTGTTCACCTAATTAACTATTTGTTTTGTCATGAGTGAAAGGTAACTTTCATGACCCAACAGGGTTACTTTCGATGGGGTGAAACTCAGTATTTATTTTATTGATATTTCAGCACACTTTCTTAAATTTGACTATTTGTTTCAGCTACTTGAATAAGATTTTTCTGTTCAAAACAAAAAATCCCATTAAAATCCAAATTCTGTTATTCTGTCATACCAACAAAAGTATCACGATGTGGGACTTTTTTCGAGGGACACAAAAAAAAAACATTTTCACGCTCTGCCTATATTTTTTCTTAGGTAATTATATCTTCAATTTTAGTCAACACCTAAGGTTCACAATCTATACGAGAGTTTACGCACAGGTCATCCACCAGCATTTCTTTAATCTCTATAAAATACACATGTATGATTTGCAGTTTTGTGTTGTAAGCGAGTTTATGCCCGATGACGTAGTACGATTAGACTCGTTCGAAATTTTATAACGACGAACACATTAGTGCATACAATAATTTCAATAGTCAACTTTAATTTTTAAGGATTAAGTCATAATTGAACTTTACGTATTTAAGTATGTCAAGCCATTGTGTGATATTGAGGTATCTCGATGATTATTTTGCTAATTATAACACGTTAGATGCGAACAATTGATACTATGACGTAGCTAATGACGTAGTCGTGTGATACTATAACATGACACTAAAATCCCCAGATAGTCTATTGGTGTCTCACATTATTGGTGTAACCGGTAAGTAATTGTTATTTCTTAATTATTCTTTTCTAATTATTTGCCACTGAATGTTAGCTTGTGATTTGTCGTCAAAATTGTTAATAGTGCATTTTGCAGAATAACATAACATGAAATAGTCTAGAATGTGTTACAACAAAACCTTTTTGCTGGAAACCTCTTCAGTGTACATTCTCAAATTCGAGAATAATTTAATTTGCAAGCCAAAGTAAAACTACGATGTTTCAAACCACTCTCCAAAATTACTCCCA